AGCTGGTTACCAAATACCTGTGAAAATAATAATACTAATAAATTAAGTTAGTGCTCATGGTAAACATAATGCTTTGTTAAGATCAATAGGTAAGTTTGCATGCACAAAGTAAAATGAGGAAAAGGTTGGTTGAGCTTTCTTGTCAAAGCCTTAAATGATGCTGTGATGTGTTATTAGATCCTGAAGAACATCAGGGGATCAGGATGTACCATAAAACATCTTTTTATGCCATTATGTCATTATGAAAATGTACCGAGCTGACTTTAGCCTTAGGCTCACATTAAATAGGTGGGAACCCATCTTTATATCTACTTCTAAGTACGCAGCACAGTGTAGAAGTTCAGGATGTGTTGTTGCTGTCGTGCATTTGTAGAAATTACTGGTATCACATCATCTGTCTCAACAATTGCCACACAGAGAGCACTGATAGTGTGAAACGTGTCATTAGATACAGTGCCCAACGGATAGCTTAGTGCTGCTCTGCTCTGACCCTCTCAACACTACTGTGACCTTTACTCGCTGCACTAGCGTTTTATTAAATGTTGATTGATTGGCAGCTCTCAGGAGGCTCCCAGAGTGGAGCACAGGTGGTGTCTATGGTGAGAACCGTTCTCTCTTCTGCACTATGCGTAACCCACTTCTTTACCACACACAAGCACAAACACACACATGTGCGGCCACTAATAAGCAGAGAAACAAACTCTTAGAGAAAGGAAAGAAAATCCTTCTTCTGCAAAGACACAGTGGTTACATTTAATTGTGCAACACTAACCTGTAGCAGAAACACACACTGGCTGCAGCTGCTGTGATAACAATAAATGCAGATGCTCTTATAGCTTTGATTAAAAAGAAAGGTGGTGCACAGCAGTTGCCTTAGCAACCACCAGTCTCAAAATGCAGCCGTATGGATGTGTTTGTATGCATGTGTGACTGAGCGTGTGTGTTTTGGCAGGAGTCTGGTCTGCCATTAGAAAACACTGCTGTGTGTGTGTGTCTGCATGTGTGCGTCTGCGTGCACGTTTGATCAGTGGTTTATTAAAAAGTCCCCGAGCAAATATTGCCTGCAAGTAGATTCAGAAATCACAACACAGAGGAAAGGTGTGTGAAGGGGTAGGATGAGATGAAAAGGTAATCATAAACACATCCATCAGTGAAAAAGGTCAAAACAGGCTCATCACGTCCACTTCCAGCATGTGTGCGCTGCACGCCGTGTGTGTGTGTGCTTGTGCTGTACGGGAGCACTCGGTAACGGCTCAAAAAAGAGGAATGCATGGACTGTTAAGCAGCCTCGGAGCATGGTTTGCCATGATGAAGAAGCATCCGAAGATTTGTATTCAGCTTTTTGGATCATTGCACCAACATTAAATGATCATTTTTGTCTCATTTAGCTGAATTTTCCCTTTTAGCTGAAACTTCACAGACTGTAGCTTGACATGCATTTTACTCTCACTTTGATTTCTTCTCATCATTTATTTTCATTCTTTTCATTGCATACTTGCATAATGCCTTGGTCCAACTATGGACGTTGTTTTTTTAAATATGAGGGTGGTTATGCACAAGGCAGTTTCGGGGTGTTGTTAAGAATCTACTCAAAATATTCAGTACAATAGCAAAAAGTTAATTCTGTTTTCTGGCCACGTTCACCCAAAATCAGCCTTGTGTCGCTGCCCTCAGTGTCATTTCTCAAATTTGACACGTGCAGCTTGAAAGGTTGTTCTGGGACTGTTTTACATTTCTGCTCTGTCTGCAGTGTTGAAGCGAGCCACCACCATCAAGAGGAGAGGCATGGATGTGGTGCGTCAAGGGCAACCAGGGGAGGAACAATATGGTGACATCTCCTCTGTGGGTGAGTGGGAGTGTGCAAAGGCTCCGACATATGGGCACAGAAAGTCAAACACCAGCAGGTGCACGCTGAGCCCTGCTGCAGTTTTAAATACAGACTCAGAGTGGGAACATGCTACACTGGATCTATTCGACCGCAGTTTGTCTCCCTGTCCCCCCCCAAAGGCATCCCCATGACCAGAACGAGTATCCGGAGCACTAAGCGAGGTCCGACGGCATATTTCCGCCGTAAGGAACGTCTCCTGCGCATCTCCATCCGGCGCATGGTGAAGACACAGACTTTCTACTGGACTGTGCTCGGCCTCGTGGCTCTCAACACACTGTGTGTAGCCATTGTTCACCATAACCAACCCTTATGGCTCTCCAACTTTCTCTGTGAGTCACAACTCATTGTGGTAGCATTGTGCAACATGAGACGTGCTCAGGAAGTCAGTCATTTGTCCGGCTTGAAATCTTTCACTGTCCAGTTTTAAAAGCAAAGGTTGACTTTGCTCCAAATAATGAAAACGTACAAATCTACAACTAAGAAAAAAGAGGAAAATAACAGACTGTAGCTAATAAAAACGACAGCTCTTCACTACAAACTTTCACTCACAGCCAGTGACAGTTATAGAAAACACAAAACGAGGATTCTTTGTTTTATTTACAAGAAAAGAAGCCGTCAGTGTAAGTTAAATACAACCTAATCATTCAACCTAGGCGTTAATTAAATTTTCTCAGTCATTGCATTCGGTGGTGGAGAGCACTGATTGACATAACTTTGTTATTTACGTTTCCAGACTATGCAGAGTTTCTGTTCCTCGCTCTGTTCCTGACTGAGATGCTCCTTAAGATGTACAGCTTGGGCCCACGTCTTTATTTCCACTCCTCCTTCAACTGCTTCGACTGCAGCGTCAGTACTCCGCCTCCCTCTATTTGTGTCCAAGAAAATTCAGATGCTTGTGTTTTTAAACTGTCCTCTCTCCACGTCTGTCTCTGCACCGTGTTTGCTTCTCCTCTTCTCCTCTTCATGACCGTAACATCTGTCCACTTCTCCTTTTTTTGATCAATACGCTGCTCTTTGTAAACTCGCTGTAACTTGCCTGCATGTCTCTTTAGGTCATTGTTGGCAGCATCTTTGAAGTGCTGTGGGGTTTCTTCAGGCCTGGCACTTCCTTTGGCATCAGCGTCCTGCGTGCACTGCGTCTGCTGAGGATCTTCAAGATCACCAAGTTAGTCCTGCAGCTTTCCTCACTCTTCGCCATCTGTTGAGATTTTATATTATTTGCATTTCCCTGTTGACCAAAGACTAGCAGTATTAGTAACATGTGGGTCCGTTGTAGAGCAGGGCGATATGACCAAAAACATTTATCACAATATACATTTGAAAATTTGCGATAACGATATAATTGACACCAGACAAAATACTTTACAACTCAACTTTATTAATGCAAAAAAA